AAGTGAAGGCTTTATATTGTGCAACAATCAACTCTTATAAATGTACGAAAAGTTTCCAAGTCCAAAAAACATTTTAGTTCTACTTATGTAGCTTATGGCGCCGAATCTAGACTTGTGTTTGAAAAAAGAACGCGCATTGATCAATCTCCCACGTCGGGAGACTGTCCTCCCGTTTTCAGAAGTTTCCTACGTAGTGTAGTTCGCCAGATCATGTCGTGGACATTTTATAAGGAAATGAGTAAACAAAAAAAAAAATTCCCAGCAAAACCCATAATGTCTGTCGACATAATTAACTTTGGCACCCTCATTGTTTTGGTTCATATTTATCGTCGTCTTTTGAATTCTCAAAACACTTTGATGTAACGATGACTTAATGCTCTTAACAATTTCTGTAAATCTTCTAGATCTATATGGCCACAAATATAATTTTGTTTGGCAGCAATCAATATAGCATCATTATGTCTTGACCTTGCTTTTCTGGGACATGTACTTCTTTGTTGACATTGTTCTTGTTCATATCGTACCATTACAGACTCTTCTGACGCCTTAATATAATTTATCCACACCCATAGATTAGGAATTGTTTCACATTGAGAATTTAACTGAGCGTGATACATGATTATTCGTACGTGGTCTCACACCCATCAAATCAAAATGATTCCAAAAAACTGCTTCGAATCTTCTTCGGAATCTACAAGCTATAAAGCCTTCACTTCACTCTATCTAGTATATATAATTTATATTATATACAGTTTATGAATCCATATTTTAATAAAATAGGAACTAAAAGCTCATTTTCCAAACTGATACCATTTTTCAAAATTGATAGAATATGCCATTTACAGACTGAGATCAGCTTTATTTCTTTAATTATAAAAAGTGATCTCGATTAAGAATGAGCCTTCTTTTGATATTCGTGCTTATCAGTACTGTAAACAATTTATTAATTTGATTTTTCGGCTTTCAGAAAAAGAAACCCATGCGTAAGAAAAGCACCTATTAGTGTACGATGCAGCTAACTGTAAGACGCTGGTAATTTAAACTTGTTGTAATTTTAGTATGTTGTTTTGTTTTCGTGTACACATGGTTGGATAGAGCTCGTCAAGCTGAGTAAGAAAAGGTGAGTTTTAACTTTTTAAAAGATTCTTTAAACGAAAAAGAATTGAAGAAATTCAGAGGGTCTAAAGTCTTTTAAAAAAGATTCAAATTTTTTCTTTTTTTGTTCTTCTGACTTTTCGAAAGTGTTTTTTTTGGATTCAGCATTAAAAACTGAGTATGAGAATGATGCTTGATCAAGATAGAAGTCAAAGGTCTACCCGGTATGAACGTCTTGAACTCGTACTGCAAAACGTTCATAAACAACTTTGCAAACCTGTCTATGCTTTTTTGTGAGACGATAAAGCCGACTTTTTTTATTTTATTAGAGCCGCTATCAGACCAACTCTGAAAGCACGCGTCGTTTCTTCTTTTATTTTGCTTTATTACTGAGAAAATACATTTTTTCTAAACCGTGATTGAAAAACTCGGAATTTTGTCCATAATTCTCTATTTTCTCGACCAAAACCCACTTTTTGTGCGATAAAAATATCATACTCTGAATAAACATCGAAAACTGAGTCGAATAATGTACTTTTTTATCCTATTCGACCCTTTTTGTTTGTTTCGAATTTTCTCACGCTCACCAGTTTAGACCCTCTGAATTTTTTCAATTTTCTTCCCTTAAAAGAAGTTTTTAAGGAAAGTTATAACTCACCTTTTCTTACTCAATTCGATGAGCTCTATCCAACCACGTATAAACGAAAAGAAAACATCGCGCTACACCCGATTCATTTCTAGATGAAGCTAGTAATGTATCTACCAGTTTGCAGTGCACTCGTGGTATCGGATGATACAGCGCCCGATACATCTAGTCTTGTAACTAATCAGTCAAATAGGAGAACAATAAAATCACGTTTTTCACGAAGAAGATCGGATTTTACAAAGTTTTATCCAGCAGATAAAAAATAGACAACTAAATTCTCTATCAAAGTCTCTCGAAACTTGACATTGGTATTTACCACCTTCCGCTAACTGCAACTGGCTAACCCGATTTGTTCTACTGTTTTAGCTAACTGGGTTTGCAAGCGCAGCTGACTATTTTCTAGTATTTTTTCGTGCTGGGGAAGCTATCCGATCATATAAGGTACTCCTTTTCAGCTCGTTGAATTCGCATAAAGTTGATGTACCTCTCCAAGTCGCTGGCATAATCTGGCATACAACGACGCTTGTTCCGGCTTATTGACAGCCTAAAAGTATCCGAATGAGAGGAATTTGGAAGTTTTTCGTCCCTTCTACTAGTTAGACCTGAATTGTTAGTGTAATGTTCCACTTACTGCGAAAAAGACATAATTAACCATTTTCTGTAATCCGATGCTTGCTTGAATAACCGTAGCCCAATTAGTTATTTGTTGTACTGTAACATAATAATTCTGTTCGTTTATCTTACTTAGCAGGCTCTGTATTCTTTCTATTGCGCGCTTTTGTGGTTCTTGTTCCATTCTTAATTGATTATTACTGATTCGAGGTCTATTTAGAATAATATCAAGCTTGGGTAAGTTAAACGGTTTCTTCAAGGATACATCAGTTTCACGTAAATCGAATAATTCCTGATGACTGTACTGGTAACGTTCAGTCTGTGGCTTACGGTCACCTGATGAATAGCTCATTTCTACTTAAAGACGCAATTCTAAAAGTTTTGAATGCTTCACTGTCGTCACGTGTACATGAAGCAAAGAACGACAAAAGAGATTTGTGTTATTCGTAGAAAATCAAATATTTACCATAAATTAATGTATCAGAATAAACACAAAAAAACCCGTTTTTTGTTTCACTTGACACTCAATATAAAAGTAACCATTCTTATGCTTTAGCGTTTGCATCGGCAAATAAATACAAAATTTCCATACAGCATTTTTCCGTTTTCTCTAGTACCATTCTGATATGAAATATTTCTCAGAACAGGAATGAATATGGAGACCTACGTCACATTCCTTACACATATATCTGCAATTCTTTGTGTTGACTCCTTTTAGTTATATGTTTATAGCCATGACACTGTTTTTGAGAAGTTGTCTTTGAAGGTCTGACTAGTACCTGTGACGAGAAATTGAATTCATCACTGTTATATAAAAACAATCACGCTGTTAGCTTTTTATACAAGGATTATGATTACAAGAGACCTTTACATCTCTTTGAAACAAAAACAGTTTCGGAAGTTAAAACTAAGACATTCAGAAATTTCATGTTACATTTCTAAAAAAAAAATAAGTTCCCTTGTCTGTAAAGGAAGGGTCTTATCGAGTTAAAATGCCTGTGTGTTTGTATGTTTGTCCGCAGCCTATTTACTAGCGACACACACACACTAGTAGAGCAAAACTTGATTGGATGGAAATGATATGGAGTAGGTATTTGACTATGGGGAAACAGAAAATGACTTTGAGCGACCTCTACGGTGAATCCTATTGGTTGAAAACATGATTTCCACTTGAATGATGAAAATGATGTGGAGTAGGTAGTGGACTATGGGAAATCAGAAAATGAGTGTGAGCACCCTCTACAATCAGTTCTAATGAGAGAATGTGAATAAGCAAATGAATAATTTTATGTTTGGAACAGTATTTTGACAGAAAAATGTTGTTTATAGTATTTTCAGCAAAAAAACCTACATTAATTAATTTTGAAAACGTTGTAATGTCTGGTCCTTTGACTGTAAAGGAAAGGGGCTTGTCGAGTTAAAATGCCTGTATATATGTGTGTTTGTCCGCAGACTATATACTCGCGACACACAAAGTAGTAGCGGAAAGTTGTTAGATGAAAATGATATAGAATAGGTAATAGACCATGGAGAATCAGAAAATGACTATAAGCGACCTCTATGATTAATTCTGTTGGTCAAAATGTTTATCTCAACTTCGATGGATGACTATGACGTGCAATAGGTATTCCACTATGTGGAATCAGAAAATGACTATAGGCAACCACTGGGATCGATTCAATTGGTCGAAATACAAGCACAATATTTCTCATGTTTCTTATCTACCTTTGTTGCGAACGCCGACGAAAGGTAGGCGCAAGCATTGTTTTGAAGTTAGAAGTAGGTTCAGGCCTCTTTGGGTCTTTGGAGGGTCGTGTGGAAACCTTTTAGCTTTGTATTATATTAGGAAGCTTATACATTAAGCAGAGAAAAATTGACAGGATATTTTAACACTGTTCCTGCGGTGTGTTAGGGCTTAGGCACAAGTTATCAGCGGGCAGGCAAACATACACGTCAAGGCATAATATGAAAGTGATTAGAAATCAGCACTTAAGAGCTGGAAATGTGCCTCATGTATCTGTTGCCTCGTAAGAACAACGATCGTCGTCAAAAGTGTCGTAGTATTAGCCTGCTGCTGCTTGTTGAGAATGTTCTTCGGAATGTAATGATCATTTGATTGAAGAAAAATCTTCCATTTTTACAACGATCCACCAAGACAATGTTCGATTATTAAGCTCATCAGAACCTCATCCAAAACCATTAACGAATACTAAAGAACAAAATATTGAAAAACTGTTTAAGACTCTAATGTATTGCAGTTCATTTCGTCCAGAACAAATTAGTTTACAATTAATTTTGCGTCATCAATACCTTCTACCACCAATGTCATTTATACATAGCGATGAGCCAGTATTTCATCAAAGATGTAGTCATATACCGTATATCACACAATACTTTTCACATACAATCAAACACAAAACAAAGCTATACTTTCGCCATTCTCTGAATCGGAAAAAACAGTAGCCTTGTATCGTCTTTTCAACATGAGGTAAATACTCATGCTACGGGCAACAGATAACAGCAATGTACACGAACAGAGAAAAGTAAAGTAAATGTTACTGAACAAAGTCTAAACAGGTTTCACACGTATATAAGAGGTTTTATATTTGTCTTCGAAAACTTCTTGGATTTCCCACATTAAGAGATCATGGAAAATTCGCATTCGTGGCGAAGTGAGTTTTTCTTTACTACTTCGGCATGCAACATGTCTTCATGCTGGCTATAGACGTACAATGTTTCTTGCTTTCTCTCACTAGTTCAAGTCAAAATCGTGTGCGAATTCTCTATTATATTCTGAGGAGTTTAGGTCACCATCTAGGTTAGGTTAGGACCGGTTGCGAATTCTCTATTATATTACTGTTACTCTACGGGTTTATTACCTGGTGATATATTGTTTGGGTGTTTGAGTGTAATAAGCCATTTTACTAGTTTTTCTGTTTATGAGAATTGGTTATCAGATGATGTTAACGATGTGAAAAACATAAATTTAATGGGTTTATTGGTAGGATTTTCAGGTGAGCCTTGGGTATTACTTTGCGGGGTGATAGACGCCATTATGCATTAATTTAGGATCAAATAAATCGGCATTAATATCCAAAATTCAAGATGCATACAACTTTGTTGAAAACATATTTCCATCTGATTATAAGGATGTTGATTTAAATTCATCGTGTATACATGACGTCACAGGTGCTGGTATTCAAAAGGTATTGAGCAATGGCTCACATTTGTTGATTAATGAAGAAGCGGATTCAAACATGTCAAAACTGGGCTTATATCAATTAGGTAACGTTATGTGTGTTATTTTATTTCTGCAATAGTTTATGTTTCCTTCTTTAGGCAATCAATGCGCAGCTCCGAACAGAGCTCTATTTTGTCAATATTTCGATGGACTTAAAAATCAGTGGAAGGTAACTGCGGGTTATCGATTTAAAGTCCCAAGGGCTCGAGTAGCATCTATTGGTGCAACAACCGGAACCCATTTTCCATCGATAATAGTTAAATTTCTTCAAAATGCTATACCTAATGGTATAGAAAATCGTTTCTTATACCATGTTATTGCCAACGCTGTATTACCGTATGATCAGTGACGTAAGATGGGAGCTGATGGTATTACATTGAAGCATATTTTCATTGTGAGTCATTTGATTGGACAAATAATATACAAATATGATGATGTTGGCGATAATGGTCAACGGTTTGTTTCTGATTTAATGGCATCATTTTTACATAAAGGTCAACAATTGATGATATCTGGTGTTAGTATATCTAAGGCATCGTTCTATGCAAAAGGTGCTGAACTATTACCACGTGTGATTGTTAGTTTAACACGCTTTAAACAATCATTATTTGTATTATTCAAATTGAAAGAAGGTGGGCATAAAGTGACAATTGACAAAGGATTTATCGATGTCATCATTAAATGTGTTGCTGATAATCTGGGCATATTTTGTGATGGTGGAGAAGAACGTTTCTGTTATGTCAACATCAAAAATTGTGAAGAAGGCTACTGTTTATTCTCGATATATTTACTTGAAACTGCATTGCGACTTTTTGACACAACAACACAACAATTCTCGAGTGGCCCATTTGCTGTAGGTGAGCAACCTGCTGGAATTGGTTTATTACAAATTGGTGAACGGAAGTCGCTGGAACATCGTTTGTTGGCAATGCCTTACCGTTTCTTTCTGAAAAGTGATTTGTTTGGGAAAATAAGTGGTCCGAATGGTACTAAAGTAAACGATCCATTTCACAACGATAACCCTACTGATGTTTCATTAGCTTTGGACATATTAGTGTCGAAACAGCTACTATCAGCTGGTGAATATCTTCGAAAAACGAAAGCTGCCCTTAATAAGCCCTATGGTAAGTGTTTGGTGAAAGATAATCCGGCTATTACTTCATATTTGAAATCGATTGGTATTGATGCCGATGGTTATCGTCGTTCCCTTAACTCTTTACCAGTTAAGCCTGTGAACGCTATTTTGTTGCCAGGTGGCGAAGCTTTTGTGGCTGCTGATGCTGGTGGGTACCTCTTCTCAGACGTCTTCAGGTTGAAAGTTCGGGTTTTCAGCCTGTCCATTCCAGATCGACACATATTAGAGATAATGGAAAAAACGCCGCTTTTTGAGTATATAATTGAACTTCCGTTTTCTTCGAAAAATTGTAACGAGTTTCACAAAAACAACCAGTAAGTTGTATTTTGAAACGGATAGTGGTTCAGCACATCATCGAGGTGAGCTAACGATCGTGGCTCACTCTCATGCCACCTTCGCCCGGCCCCCCGACATCTCCACTTCGACACTTCGTCTCGAAGCGGAGGTATATGTTTAGAAAGATATGGATTCATTGAATAAACTCTTCGAAAATAGCCAGCATAGAAAACAGCTGAAATACATAAATAAATAATTTAGGGACTACCAGCATCTGATTGTTTGAATACATATAACTAAAAGTCATAAGAAACCTATATGGTGACCTGAGACAGTCAGAAAATAATAGAGAATTCCCAAGCACACCATATACATCAATACGCATTACGACCATCCATTGCATACCGAAATGAATTTCCAGAGAATACGAATTCATTTTTTAGAAAGTCAAATTCTCGGCGAACGTGTATTTTCCAGGCTATGCTCCACCCCGTGTAAAACGCTACAAGGATATCCGCTACGACGTCCGAACCACTGAACTGTCTCATTTTGACCATTCGTACTTCAGTCTTTTGAGCTATGCCTTTGTTTTACAAGGCTTTTGTTTGTTGTTTCGCTCTTTTCGAAAGGACAATACATATGTTAAAAATATATTTATTTAGATGATTCGGTAATTGAAAGCGATTCAAGTGTCGAGAACAGTGAACCATTATTAGCCGAGTCAATGTCTTACATTGCATATTGAAAAATGACGGTTATTGATGACGGTCAGCAGATTCTTGTCTATATCTGCTAGTTTAGGTCAATTTATTACTTTGTTCAGATAATGCAGATGCTGCCACGGATAATAACGGTGACTCAAAAGTTGGACACAAAGCTGCGTGTATAACTATAAGCAGAAGCGATGAGGGTAACACAACATAACTCTTTAAGAGCTTGGTAATCGACTTCTTCGTTTAGGCTCGATTAACATGAGTACAGAAGCTGATACGCTTGTACACTCAGCTGCTGATGTTTGGCCGTACATTGAAGGTGTCTGTTTGCTTTTCGATGTACTGGGCGTTCTATTGATATGTATATGTATGTACTGTTTTAGAGTTAACTGCACCCGAACAAAATGGTTTGTCATTATTAGCAACAACCAGTGCCGTAACTAGTTTCACTGCAGCGAATCATGAATATCCTATGCTAAAGAACATTGCAGCTGAAACAACTGATATTGTTGGTGTTACTGCATCAACACAAAGTTCAGGTTTGAAACGTTCTTCTGAAGAAAATGTTGTTTATTTGAAATATTGGTAAAAACAATGGTGATCGATTGTGTGTACAGATGTTTGTCTTCTTTGTTACATCACTTTGTATTTTCTATTGCAGAGTCTA